ATTGTTTTCTTTCTCTATAGCCATCATGGTCATAGTGACTAATTATCTACATCTTTATCAAACCAAAGAAAACTCTGTTTAGTTTGTTCTTAATTTGATTTGATGAAAGCTTGTATTGGAAATTTTTATTTAAAAAAAAAAATAGTCCGTTTTTTCAATTTTTTCTTAATTTTACTTTTCCATTCTATAAAAAATATTTACTTTTCCATTACCTGGAATTGGTCGCCAGCACAAGGTTTTTCACTTTTCCTTACTATCAATTTCTTAAGAAGTTACTATCAAATTATAATAACATTACTATATTATTATACCAAAAAAGAAGCCATGGACACATGCATGTGATAAGCTTAGTTATATCACTATCAGCCTCAAAAATACAGTTTAGAAATTGATGATGGTGATTTGATTGGCCTTCTAAAAAATATAGCAATGAAATAACCATAGTTTTCCTATACTTACAAATTATAAATGCTTCTCAAAATATACTATAATAACTAATTACGTCTATATATGTTTATTCAATTAATTGTCATCTTCTTGCAATTTCAGGAAATGGGTAGTAATGCTTTTTTTATTTTTTAGAAAATTAAAGTTTGCTATTACTTTGATTATTTTGATTTTGTTCTGAAGTAAAGTAAGAAAACGGCATGGATAGCTTAATTACTCAAAAAAAAAAAAAAAAAAAAAAGAAATGTTATAAGCATCGTGTCCATCAGCTTCAGGTGAGCACGACAAAATTTGTTGAATGGGAAGGTTCTTTTTGTCTCATCCCTTCAAATTATGCTTATATGTTTTGTATTTCTTGTTTTCTTCTCCCTATAATATATATATTTTTTGCTACAATCAGATTTATAGAAGGTGAGTTGCAATAAAAAGTTTACTGTAAGCGATGAGACCCAAATGCATTGTTGCAAAGTAAATTAGTATAACTAGTTTTTTTTTTTTATCCGTGCATTTTTTATTATATTTTTCATAATTTAATACTAATTTATATATTATATATATAAATAAATAAAAATATTCATAATCATTTATAATTTATAGTTTAAAATTACAAAAGCCGTTCATATATAAATTATTAGAAAAGAATCAAAATAAGTATTACAAAAATTTTGAATTATGAAAGTAAAATTACATACAAATTTTAATGAAAAAATCAAATTTTTGTTCACAATTATATACACTCTTAAAAGTATATATTATTTTAGTATGAAAACTAAAATTTACATATGTGATATATCATAAAGACTTTTTCATATTTGATTTTGAAACTTTATTATGCCAAATTTTTGTAACGAAAATATGATTGTTTTATCTTTTTATATATAAAAAAAAAGTGATTGTGAGAAAATATCATAAATATATTTAATAATTATTTAATTTTAAAAAATAATAAAATTTTAAAGATATAGTTTATCCAAATTTAATTTTAAATCAATAAAAAATATGTTAATATAATTTAAATTTAGATATGTGTGTAATTTTAAATTGAAATAAAATATCTTTTTTTTATTTTAAATCATAAAAAAATAAAGGTAAAAAATTGATAAATAACAGTAATTTAATCATAAATTTTATTTATTTAAATTTATGTGAATAATGATTTAGACGGTGATGATTTTTTATGATTAGAATTTAACCTTTAAAAGCTATTTGAATTTTATATTTCATATTTATGAGTAGGGTAAGGTATGACATATATTTTTCAAATATTTTGCAAGGACCCTACCGCAAAAGAATCAAAAAATTGTTCTCACCTTTAAGTAAAAAAAATAAAACACGGATTCGTTTTGGATAAATAAGATTCATGTTATACTTCTTGCTATTAATTATTACAAATTAGAACAGACAATAGATACACTCAAATCATTATCAACAGAAAAAAAATTTTTTTTATTGACAGAAACAGAAGATAAACCGACAATGGATACCTCAAATCATTATCAACAGAAAAAAAACTTTTTTTATTAACAGAAACAGAAGATGAACAGGGAAATATCAATTATGGTTAGAATTTAACTTTTAAAAACTATTTGAATTTTATATTTCATATTTATGAGTAGGGTAAAGTATGACATATTTTTCAAATATTTTTTGATTCATAAAAGTTTAGAAGCAAGGGAGATTATCTCATCTCTTAGGCTAAAGCAAGCCGCCAATCCAATTGGGATTTTATGGATAAAATTTTAATTAGGATAAAACTTATATACTTTACAAGATTTTGATAAATGTAAATTTTGAAATTTTAAAATTTTTAAAATTTGAATAATTAATTTAATAAAGTTATTTAAAATTATCCTACATGATAATAATATAGGTTATCCACTTAAGCATCGAAGCAAATTTTATTAAATTTTTTATGTATATTATAATATAATATTATATATGATTTCTCTTATTTGAGTAATAATTTAATAGCAAAATGATAGTAATTGAGAAATTTAAAGAATGTGTTATTATTATATTATTTTTTTAAATTTCTTTAATCAATGTTTCATTTAGTCATTTTGTTAAATAAATTTGGTGCTACAACCAATTATTTAATTACAGTTTAATCTATTAGTAGGTAAGTTCCAATTGTAATTTAAAAAAGAAATATTTCAACAAAAATATGGTATGGTGAAGCTATAAATGTCGCTGTTATTAACTTAAGTAGAGAATTTGAAGGTTTATTATTCTATGTTTCGTCTCATAGATATATTTTTTTTACTTGACAATATGTTTATCATTTTGTTGATTATTATTGGAAATGAGCTGGATTAATGTCGTTATTGGGTTTGATCCTGTGTAGACCGTTATTAGAAATTTATTAGTTATTATTTTATTCTTGATGCAGTGATTTTAACATAATTAGTTATATAAGCTTAATTATTGATTTAGAAATTTACTTTTTTTTTTGTTGTTCTAGCCTAATAATTTTGTTTGGTTTTTCCTAATAAAGAGACCGTTCCACTTTTAATTTAAAAAAAAATCCATTAAAATTTACACATTTATTTAAAAATTTAATTACGGCACCCGCACAGAGCTGGGGTTGCACACTAGTTAATATAAAAATGATCTCATGCTTTATTAATAAAATTTTTAAATTAAAAAATTATCACATTTTTTTATTAAAAAATATTTATAAATAAATAATAAATTAATATAATAAATATATATGATAATATTTTTTATTATTAAATTTCATTAATAAAATATAAAATAATAATTTTATCTATTTATTGGACCATTTTAAAATGTGAGTGTTTTAATATGTAAATTAGTTTACTGTTTGTACGATGCATAAATTATTTTTATTTATTTAAATGTGTATAAAAATATAAATTAATATTTTAATCACTTACATGTTTGAAATATATATATATACATAATACATATAATATAATTAAGACATAAAATCATAATAAAATTAAAGTTGTTAATTAAAAATTTGATAAAATTTAAAATATAAATCATGATTAATATATCTAATATAAATACATTACTTTTAATTTTTATCATTTAATAATCAATTTATCATAATGATTTAAAATAAAAGTATTAAATTCAATTAATGTGTTTAATTAAAATAGATATTTTTATATTAAAGTGTATAGTTTCTTATAACTAAAAATGATAACAGATTACAAATACTTGGTAAAAAAAGGACTCTAAATTTGTTAAATTGATCAAGAAAATATTATTAAATATTTATAAAGGAAAAAATATATCAAATTAAAAGTATGTGAAGAGGGAAAATAGGAAATAAATGCATCGTTTCATGCTAAAAGATTTAATAGTTAATCAATTGAATAAAAAATTAATTAAGTCATAAAAATTTTGACATACCTTCACTATTATAATCATAATATAAATGATGAAAAGAAGGAGAATATAAAAATATTATTATTTTGTAAAAAAAAAATTATACATAGTTGAATAAGAAATTAATTCATAGTATTTACGAACCTTCATTTATGTGATTTTAAAAAAAATTTTGAAAAAAAAAAATAAAAAGTAATAAATGTGTGTCAAAAAAATAAAAATAAAAATTATTTTTATAAAAACAAAATCATAAAAGTAATAATACCTTTCAAAAAAATTACAAATTGAATAAAAAACTCTACACTCCATACTATTTATAAATGATGAATGATAATTACGATGTTTAAACTTTAAATTGACAATAATATCTTTTGAATTTAAAAATATATATAATAAATGATATTTGTGTTTTTGAATCTAAAAAAATTTTAAAATTAAAGGACCATAAAAAAGTTACCAAAGCAAAAATATCTTTTTGAAAATTTAAATTTTAAAAAAAATCTCTAACTGAAATTTTAACTAAATAAGATTAATTTTCTTGAGTTTTATATTTTTATTGCAACTTATTAAGATTTTTTATTTTTGAAAAAAAATCATAAATAATTTGGGTAAGATTTTACTTTTAAAATTTTTAAATTTGAATTTGAATTGAATATAATAAGCTTTGTCTATATGTCAAAAAAAAACTTATTCATCTAAGTGTTCACGTGACAATATTATCGGATATCTTTATATGTTGTAATATAATTATGATATATATGATTTTATTTATTTTTTATATAAAAATTTAGATAAAAAATTTATTCTAAAATCAAATTACTAATAATAAAATTAAATCTAAATTTTACTAAACATTATCATAAAAAAATTACTAATAATAAAAATTAAATCTAAATTTTACTAACAAAACATTTTTCAATTCAACAAAATCTTATTTGTTTAATATTTTGATCAATCATTTGTAATTATGTAAGGCTGAATGTTTCACATGAAAATAGAGAAAAATATACAAAGTAAATTACACAAATTTTTTGATTGGTGATTCTGCTCACGTAAATCATTTAAAAATATACAATGGTTTTTTTTTAATAAAAAAAGTTTCAAAACAAAAATCTAAAAAATGAAACTTTCAAAAAATGAAAAAGGACAAGAACCTAGTACGCTGTCGCACCATGAAAATCTGGCAAGCGCACCAACTCCTTTGTAGAACTCCGTTCTTCGTCTTGTCCGAAAGGGGAAAAAAGTCGAGTGTTATGATTTGGGACAAGCACTTTATCTTATTTTTTCTACACTCGTCTTATTGAACATTGCGGGTCCCCCTAATCTACGGCTGTAAAAACACATCTGCCTACATGCTGATTGTTGATTAGGAAATTTAAGAATGTTATATTATGATGATCGGCTGTGATTACACAATTAAGGGTAATAAATAGTAAAGAGCAAGAGTGAAACGGTGAGTTTAGAAGTGAGTTTTTTATTAGGTTTTGTGGAGCTGGAGAAGTGTACATGCAAACTGTGAGCTTCGACCAACTCCGAGAGGAAAAGCAGAAACAAATCCACAAGCAAAAAGCATAAGCAATTATTATCCCAAATTCACTACCATGACTGGTAATTATTATTTTGTTTCTTTTAATTCATTATTCAATAAAACTTCATTTTTTACTAATCAAATTCTTCTTTTCTATAGCGAATCAAGTATGTTTAGAACACTCCTTCAACGATCATCTAATTGCATAATCGAGTTTTTCTAGTTTTCTTTTATTTTTTGTTCCTTCTTAGTATTCAATTTTTTTTCTTTTCTAGGGTTTTCTTCTAATGCTATTCGCTTTTGTTTCTTTAAAGTGTGATATAAAGATATAAACTTTTTTCTTTTCTGGGTAATCAGGGATACCCAACAGCGGCAATGGCATTTTTATGGTGGGGGGATGGAGCTTTTTTTTTTTTTTTAAACTTTTCTGGAGGTTTTTGGGGACATGGGTTTTGTAAGATATTATGAACTTCACCTCATAAGGATTGATTTTTAAAGAAAATTAAAGCTAGTATTGGTGAAGCAAAAGTGGTCAAGGTACAGACGTATAGTCTTTGAGAGTGTCTCAAGCCCAGATTAGCGGGTCAAACTGAGATACAATCGATCAAACATCGACTGTAAGGGAACTAACAAACACAGCTGCCCTGGTCATACCAAAATGCAAGTTTGGTAGCCTTTCTTCCCTAGCAGATAGCTAAGGACATGGAATATGATCTGCTTAACATTTAATAGTATTGATTAAATCTTGTTTAATCAATTGATAGAAGAATTATATATACTGAGAATGCGATGCTGTGTTGAGATTGGTTTATGATATACTTCCTTCAATCTTAATTCATTTCTTCGAGTTATGTTTGCAGACCATGTGCAGGAGCAGGAGATGGAAATTGAAGCGCTGGAAGCAATACTTATGGATGAATTCAAAGGTCTTTTGCCCTCATTTTGTTGGACCTGTTTTTTTCTCCCTGATAAAATTTCATGTTCCCTCCTGACCTGTAATTGCTGCTTTTGTATCAGAAATTCACTCTGGTGAGAGTGGGCTAAGCACTTCGAATAGGTGCTTCCAAATAACATTATCTCCTCAGGTGTGTTTTATCCCAGACATAAGATTATCTTCCTTTTTTGTTATGTGATTGGCATTTCTTTATAAGCCCATTTTGTTCTAGTTTTTCATGGTGACCTTGCAATGCCACGGGCGTCAATAGAGTTATAGTTGTTTGCTGAGTAATAATGCACCTTTAAATGATTAGGAATGTTTGGCATGCACCTTTTAATGATTAGGATGTTCGGCATGCTTAGCTGCTAGTTCTACATCATTATTCATTCTTCATGACTTATGCCTTGGCAACTAATTTCCTCTCATCTGATTATCACATTTTGTGTTTGACAGGATGATGACACAGATCAGTCAACCAGCACACCAGGTTATTCTTTTTATATGATCCAACAGATTGTAGTGTGTCATATTTATCTGCCACTACACTTATATGCACACTCGAACAAATAAATTTATAACATCAAATTTGATTTAATTTGCTTTATTTTGGGAATTCTGCTTGCTGCCCGTAGTTCATGATTTTCTGTGTCCCTGTGAACATAAGCTGTTGCCAAAACTTCTTTGCAGTTCAGCTGGCTTTGGTTTTCTCACATACAGAAAAATATCCTGATGAGTCTCCACTTCTGAATGTAAAAAGGTCAGCATGTCCTTTCAGTGCAATGTACCAAAATGCATGCCACTATATTTATAGGGATATTTGTTACTGTCTCCTGTTTACACAAATTATCTAAGACAGAAATGATTTTTCCTTTTGTTTGAAGCTCATTTGAGCTTTGCTCGATGAGGATGGTGGAAAAGTTTTTAATCCTATGTTTGTGCTATAAAGTATGAAGGTGATTATGAATCTTAGCCATTAGGTTGAAAATTTTGCCATCCTTTCCTCTTTCCATTTTTGCTACCTATCTAAGTCTTAATCTTTCCTTGATCTTGTTGGGTGTTCTTAATACCATTTGAGATTAGACCAGCAAACAACTGCCTTTTTCTTTATTAACTGCTTTTTGTGTTTCTAATATTTGGTTAGAATTAAATGTTTCATGAGTTGCACCAACAATTAATCATATGCTCCTCACCTCTGAATTGACTGCTATTTGGTGCATATATGCAATATAGACCTCTAAAAATCATCAAGGCTTCTTTTTTTAATCACCTTGGCTACTTGATTTTCGCCTTTCTAGATTTGCTATGTGGCAAAAGCAAAATCTTATTTGGTTAGAAATGAGCAAGTTCACACCTAATGGTTCCTAACTGAGTGAGATCATGGCTTTTGTTGTCCGTGAAACTAATTATTAAAAAGTATTTTCTTTTCTTCTATATCCAAACTCATTATTGCTTTTGAAAGCAAAGAAGGTATTAAAACTGACAACCAAATGGACCCTAATAGTTGTGTTGATCTACCTTTTGATTTTTGTCTTCTAATTTAATTTTAAAGCTACCTCAAGTGAAAGGCTACACTAAAATGTCAGTGGCTGCCATGTGACTAAATCCTATAAGTGTTATGTCCTTTCAGACTCTAATGTGTAGTTTCTTTCATTGATGACTCCAACTGATACAATAACTCAGACTAAAATAATAATCATATTTTGAATGTGTTAAATGATCAATATTGATGTTATTTAACATTTATCTTTCATGGATAGAAGACTGTATCATTTTGTGCTTGTTGCTTGCTGAAATTGAATGGACTTTATCTTGAGCATTTGGGATCTTGTTTAGAAGATGCATTATTTGCCCCTCGTGATCTAGTTCTTTCTGATGAACCTTTTTAAATAACCTGCACTTTTCATTTCCTTTTCCAGTATACGGGGAATACAAACCAATGACCTTAAAGTTTTGAAGGAAAAGCTGGAACAGGAGGTAACCTTGCAGGGCATTTATATCTTTCATATTTCCGGAATTTGTAATTTACAATTTAAGCATATCTAAAGCTTCCAGGAAATATTCTTCTGTAAATTTAGCTTTTGGCTCTTAATAGAGAGTCAACGCCATATCTTTCCCCAGCTCGTCACTGCGTACTGATAAATGTGAAATCTCTTGATTGGAATTGTTAAGTGGCTTAGGGAATCTCAAGTGTGCCAATCCTTTAGCTAATTGAACTTTGTTTCACGATCATCTTTAGCTAGCAGTAGCATCTGTTTAATAAATTAATCCTTCTTTCTAGTGGAAGGTTCCAATAAATTATTATTTTTAGTTGCTATGCCTATTAGCATCTTTTTCTTATATGTAAAGTGGTTATACATCTTAATTTGTCCAGGTTGTGCAGATCCTCACTTCATTTTACACTTTACAGGCATCTGAAAATCTTGGTATGGCTATGATTTACACTTTGGTTACATCAGCCAAGGAATGGCTATCTGAAAGATATGGCCAAGATGCTGATGCTAACAATGCTGAGGAAGAAGAGGCAACAAAAGATGAGGTGTGACTGTTATTATGCATTTTCATTTTCTCTGTTATCCTGGTTAGATGTTTATTAGATTCAAGAGTAAAAATAACATTTGTTTTTAGTAATCCTTTAGCAAATTCAATTTGCATTCCTATATCATTGCCCACCTGCTTGTTGGATGCAATGTTGTCCAGTGTATTTATGGCTTATTTAAGCAAAGGTCTGCAGATAGAACTACTTGCATGTGTTAACATCCAACAACTTAGACCTATAGAGAAGGAATGTTGTTTTTGCCCTAAGGTGCTGCAGTGCCACTGCCATTGTCAAGGTGGCGCCAGGTGATGCCTAATTAAGAGGAAGGATAGATTTTCAAATATATGTTTCAAAGGTATAAATGTGATAGCTTGTGCCCAAGATGAGTTTTTGATATTGAGGGATCTGGTATCCGATCATTTACTAGAAGCATGAAACAAATGAAGTTATTGTTCTTTTAAATGCTTGGTACTAGAAAACTAAAGGGTGTATGGTGAAGCTCCTGGTTTGCAATGTTCATAATGTGAATGTGTCAAATGAATCTCAACAGACATCAGTTTGAATGCTGGACAAAGTGGACTTGGTCAGACCAAAAAAAATCCTGTGAGTACAAAAACAAAATGACTTGAAAGTGAGTGTAGAAGAGAAGTGGAAGTTGAGACTAAGTCGCAACATCATAAAAGATGTTACATTTACAGCATTAGGTGTTAAAAACAATTGAAAAAAAAAATTGTGGAGAAGAGGATAGAAGTTGGATAGTTGAGTCACTTTTAATTAAAACCAATGAATGAGAAGAAGGATGTCTATGTTTCTCACTGTGCATGCTGTCTAGTTAATGGAAGGTGAGAGATAATACCTATTGAGCTTGTGATAATATGCTCTGAAACAAACTGGATCCAGTATCTTGCCTAATTTTCCTTCAACTGCTCCCACCACCCTTTTTTTCGAGTTCAAACTTCAAAATGCAGAAATGACCCGTGGGATTTTGGTATATGACAGGATCATGGCAAGGATGTTTTACGCTGATGTAACCCATCATAATCGGTTTCTTCAAATCAGGATTAACTGTGAATTTAGGAAAGAAAGGGCTAAAATTATTAAGATATACTATGCTGGTTACTGTTATAGCAGCCTGACTTTCATTCAAGTCATATGTACTGAAGAAAAGCACAGATATTTCCTCGTAGACAGTTTTAGACACCTTGTGGTTTGTGCTATTTTAAAAAATAAACTTTACTTGGAACTTTTAATGCTAATTGGTCAATCTGCTGTAAGAATGCCCTGTATTATCTAACAAAGCAGCAGTGTGATCCATTTTTTTGGGTTAAATCCAAGAGGAACAACAGAAAATTTTGTGCTAATTATAATCACAAATCAAGATGCTGTTCAAGTTTGAGAGCACTAAGCTTTCTCTTAATACCATATGTTAGTCTTTATGTAAGAGGAGCTATCATACCTTTTCCTTTCAGGTAATTGTACCACACGGAGAACCTGTTACTGTTGATACATTTTTGGCATGGAGAGAAAGGTTTGAGGCAGAGTTGGCACTAGAGCGAGCCAAGTAAGTTCCATAGCTGAATGCTTTTTGTACATATGTGGACATCCACACATTACTTTTATCTTAGTTTTTTGTTCTGAAGTCTGCAAGTTTGGTAGTGCTAAACGTGCTGAAGTTCCTTTTGCTTATTATTATTATATGAAGTTTATCCTTGGTAGAAAAGTGCTTGACCTGGGACAAGATGTAGAGGCATATGTCCTGCGTACAGTTTCCTGTCTTTGCAGTCTGGACTTAAATGGCACCTGTGTCTTACTTACATGAACTCATGTTCCCATAAAGAGCTCCATGTCATTAGGAAAATTAAAGGAGTAACTGAAATGCCATTTCTATTCTCGTTTGACACTTTAAACACAATTCATATCATGGAGATCTTTCTTGAAATAAAAGAAACAAAAATCCTGTAGATAGTTTCCATCTTAATAAATTTGGCTTTACAGATAAAGCACAAAGGCACCTAGATCAGAGAGGTGACTTTGCTGGAATATTGTCTAGAACCTGCATTGCTCGAACTTTGGAAGACGTGGGTCATATCCAACATGCATATGTACAATTTTTGCTAAGTTTTCCCTTATATTTGGAGGGTCATGCCTCATACTGCATTAACTTTGAGGTGTCTGATATGCATACTTTTAAAAAAAAAAAAGTAGGTTTCCCTCTTCTATTACAGTGCATGGATAGTTTCCTTGGTTTGTTATGTCTTATGTGTTAAAAAGAAGAAGCAAAAGAAAAGCTATCTATGCTTTGAAAATTGAAAGCCATATATTATGCTGTCACAAATTATGAACTCTCTGTGCATCAATTTTCAGGCTAATGCCAGAGTCTGCTTTTATGGCAACCAAAGAGAAGAAGCTCACAGGCAGGCAGTGGTTTGAAAGTGGAAGAGCTACTGCGGTAATTTATACTTCCTAATTTTTCCTCTCTATAGCATTGTGGAAACTTAACATCTATATTATTGTCATAAGGATTTGTTAGGATTCCAGAAACAAGCAGATTATTGTTTCATTTAAACTGGCTAATAATCTCAAATGATTAATTTGGATTTGGGATGGTCTACTTCCAATTCTTGTACCCATTGATTAATGATTCTTTCTCTAACATGTTTTTCCACCATTTTAAGAATAGAATATATAATCATTAACAGTTTTATGAAACCACTATTTTCTGCAGGAATAAGTTATATCTTTCCCCTATAAGATGAATCTGAGACTTAATTATCCAAAAAAAAAAAAGGGAAAAGAAAATCTTGGACTCTGTAAATTTATGTCAGTGTTAAAAAATGTATATGCAAGATGAGAAGTTTATTTAACATTATTCAGCCAAAGATTTAATTGGATTAATTGATTTCTATCTATGGTGGAAAGCAATCACGACTTAATGAAGAACGAATACAAGGATGTGATATTGGTAGAATGTTTAATTAATGTTACTGCATCATTAATATAGTGACTGTCTGTTCTGCAGAAAGGTGCAGCTCCAGTCAGTGAAGAATCTGATGTGGAAGACGAGGAAGATATTGATTTTGATGATGATGATTTTGAAGGTGAGTTGCTCTCTTGGCACACCAGACTGTAACTGGTACTGATTGTGCCAAGAACATGCATTTAATGTTTTCATAGTTTTGATATGGTTTGATAAAACTGAAGCATAAAATGTTAGCAAATTGGATGAAAGAAATTATTTGATCACTTTGGGTTAATGCAGATGATGAAGAAGATATGCTTGAGCACTATCTGGCTGAGAAGTCTGATTCATCCTCCCACTCTTCAAAGAGAACTGCTTAAAAGAAATTCTCGTGATTTGACATTTAAATATTTTTGATGCAGCATCTCCAGGTACTGGAAGTTTAACATTTCTCCCAATATTCATTTACTATGTATTTTGGCACACTTTATCTCTGGACACTTGAGAGCAAGTGGGAGCCATGGTTTCATGTTTAGAAACGTCCTCGCATTTAAGTATGGCAGCAAGGATGGAACTGATTGAAGGAAAATAACTTCTTTTGTAACATTGAGTTTTTGTTTTAAAGCACCATCTCTAATGTAAAATTCGCCAAATTTTGCCTAGTATTCAAAGATCAAAACAATTTTCATGCCTTTTAGTGGTCATGAACTTGTATTTTTCTGTGGTATTTTAAGCCATAAGGTATTAAGTTGCATCTTTGATTTTTGTTCAGCAAACTATATGCTAATTTGGAGTCATTACACACGATTTGCAGAGTGTAACGGTTTCATGTATGCTGGGACCGGGGGTGCTCAATTTAGGAAAGAGGGATTAAACAATTTCAATGATCATCAGGAACAAGGAAAAAGAGCAAAAAATAAAAAAGAATTCAAAATAGCAAGAAATGATATATTTTATTTTAAATTATTGTTGCTGTCAAGTATGTCACAGACTCTCAGTACTGAGCTAAAATTTCTAGGCAACTCTTGCAGGCCAAGAATAAACAACTATGACACGTTGCTTCTCCTAATTACTATTCCAATGAAATTCTAAACAAGTTATCCTTTCCCAAGTCTTCAACATTACTAGTACATTACAAATGTATGTTACAAAGAGATTTGTCATATCTCTAATTTTTCCTGGCATTTACTTCAAAGATCGAGATCTGAAAACCCATGTAATAAAGTTGGAGTGCAGTCTCCAGAGGTCACAGGTACTGACAACCAAGAAGCAGCCTTGGTGCACGTACAAATAATTCTACACCTTTCTTTTCTATACGCATCCTTGATCAGTCATGGCTTGAGCAATGGCCAGAAAAGCAGAGATGACCGCTCCATGTAGCAAAGCCCTGTTAAAAGTTAATGAAGAATGAGAGTGAACTATCAGTTGTACTTGGGAAGGACATAACATCAGTAACTACATCTTGGGTTCTCAAACAATATATTTCCAGCCATTATACCTTTCGAAGCCTGCCAACCTTTCAGGAATGTATAAAGAATGATCACTTAATAGCCATAATATAGAATGATTTTGGTCCAGAGCATAACAGTATAATAGATTGATTTCTACTTATTGAGAAATAAGAAACAGTCTGACTGCAATTTGGTGAAAGAATCGATTAAGAACACCAGATCAGCAGCAGATAGAAAACTAGTGTTTGATTCATGTACCTTGTGCCAAAGAGAAAAATAAATTATAAAAAGGCTTTCCACCTCACTTTCTTACTAGTAAAATGATAGTGCTAACACAAAAAAGCACTTACTCGGGACTTTCTTTTTGATAACCAAAATCATTTGCTGCTTTGAGGGCTCTATGGAATGTCTGTTTCATTGCTTCCTGCAAGTTTATGTGCAGAGAAGAATCCTCACTAAATTTGGTCATAACCAGATGTAAAATTAGCTGTCAAGTTAAAAAAGGGAAGAAATCTGAAATAAGCTACAATGGTAAATCCAAAAGAAGCCAACTCAAATTCACTTAGTATTATACTGACATGATCTTTGCAATTTCAATACTCCCAATCACTATAAAAGGTATTTTATGTTAAATAAAAACACTCGGTTAATCAACAATTGACTAGTACCAAGTTTGAGTTTATCTGAGTTATATAGCCAAAGTGACTGCAGGGTACATAAATATATGGCATCTACTGAAGCAAATAGAAGTAGGATGTTGCACCGTGGTAGTACTAGCAAACTGTCAAATGCTACTCTAGGTTAACACACCTTTTAACAAAGACATGTAAATCTTACCTGTAATTTAGATTCAAAATCCTCCGGTGACCAATGCATTACATTACACTCATGGTTTAATTCAATTTCTCCTGCAACAACCTGTAATTGTGTCATGGAGTCAGCAAATAAAGTAATATTATAAACAGAAAACATCCCAAAATTCATGCCAATATGGATGAATAAAGACATGTTCACAACAGTCTCAGCTTTACCATCCACCTTCAAAATATTTGGCTATCCCAGAAATAATCATTTAGACCAGTCCACAAATTCAGAGGCATTATAGACTTAGCCATAAATCATTGTCCTAAATCAGCATATCTGGCACTTGCTGTTAAAAGATGACTCCCCTGTTAAAGAGAATGAACTAATTTTTCTATTGGAATTTGCTGCTATTTCTTATAACCATCATACTTTATCTTCAATTTTCTTTTGCATCTTTGTGACAAAAAATTTCATTTGCTATTAAAGTAAGAAATTGGTGGCTCTCTTCCCCTTTGATAGCATCACATTCCAATACAGCACGATATGATGAATCAGACATAAGCACATTATGCTTACGAAAAATACGTATATTTACCTTTACTGCAATTCAGGTTCTAATCATTCAAATCTATATTTGCATATTCTTCTTATATCATTATAGAATTTATTCCATGAACATTCCTTTTGTTTAGAAGAAAAATCAAGCCTACTCTGAATTTGCATAAAAGCAAATGAAATTATTGCCTCATAATTAAACCTATTTATGATAATGAAAACTAATTTCATCAAGAAGATCGAGAAAGTGAAGATCACACCCCTCCAGCACCAGCGGCCATGGCAGGAGCAATGAGAACATTAGCCTTTTTCAATGCATCAACTGCTTCAGGACTGCAAGGCATATTTGAGCCTAGGAGACCACAATAACATATAACTATTAGCTAATATAATTAGTATCATTATTCTCCAAGATAGAAATATATTAAAATATTTTTCTCTCCATATCAGGGACTACTACCTTCTACAAGTATATGACAACCTGAATTAACCAGATTAATGGCATCAACCTGGTCAATTTCATTTTGAGAACCACAGGGAATTGCGACATCACACCTTTCATTCCAAGGCTTTGCTTCATCATAGTACTTAGCCCGAGCATAAGTCTTTGAATAATCTCTGCATACTCAAAATTTATAATAGCAGCTCTCAAGAATCACTAAAAGAAATGAAATTTAAATTGAAGTATGGAAATGACAGTGAAGAAAACACACCTCAAACTTCTTTGTTGAGCTTTGAGATCCCTCAAAAATGATATTTTCACATAATCAAATCCATCCTCATCAACCAAGTATCCCTTCGAATCTGTGCCACATATCAGGCAAAGGTAAATGATTAATAGATGAACATCTGTTTCAACCAACTTTTATTTGCTAAGATCTTCACTAAGCTGAATGTGCCATCAACTTTATTTGCTTGCACTGAGGCTACTATACATCATATAAGTTCCTAATAATAGCATTTTGAAATTTCAAGCTTTATTCCACATACTGAAAAAGCAAGGATAATACACCAGAATCATATCAAACAATCACAAGTAAACTATTGTATATTTGTATGTTTACCGTCCTGTAGATCATTTCCCTAAATCAAGTTAAAGGGTAAACAAAGCAACCAATGTGCTAGACATCAAGAAATATATAAAGAACTTCTTGGCGATGAGAAAAAGAACCATGAACAATGAACTTGAGTACGATTTGTAGGGCACTTTAGAATGGCTAAGATCCTTCATGTACATTAGAAATTACAAGTGATGAGCACAAGGTTAACATGATAAAAATACTTGCAAACAAGAAATAGACCAATTAATTCTAGCTCAATCAACTCATGGGGCAACTGCAACTGTTAAGAAAAAAGCAATGCAAAATTAATGTACTTTCTGCAAGAAAGCTCATTTAGCGTCAGTATGACCATTTTTCACTGAAATTAGCAAAATAGCTAGAATGACAATGAAACCAAAGGAATTCTGTAATAATCATCACATAACAAGTGCATAGCAACATTACAAGTAATTATTTTTTCAATGCACCCAATGTGGAATGGAGAATTACCTGATACTGTAATTGGAAGAGCACCAACAGCAACAAGCTTTTCCAGAACATGCAATGCAATCTTTCCAAAACCACTTACAACACATCTGGAGGAAGATTCCAGCGAAATTATATTCATGTGATCAATTTAGTGAAACGACTAACAGGAGTAGACTTCAATATTGTGATAAATCTACTTTTTGGTATATCAAATGACTAACAGGTCTTTCCAAAAAAAAAAAGAAACAAGTTATTCACCAGAGAAAATTCCACCTTTTTATATTTGCACAAATTAGGGAAAACATTACATGGAACTACAACTTATACTCAAGGCTACAATATGCATTTTAAGTCTAGCTAATAATAAGCATCAAAAGTTAGGAAAAAGTAACCTCAGTCCTTTGATATCTTTATTCAACTCTGCAAGAATAAGCTGGGCAAAGAAAACCTGCAGAAGCATGAGATCTTTATCAAAATCCAAGCTATCAGAAAGAGATATATACATGGAAAAGACTGAACCCACTATAAAGACAAACATTGAAATAGTGAAGCAGAATAAGAATCTTTTATGGATGAAGAGGTGCAAAGTCAGGCATTAATGCATTCACCCTGATATTTAACTACCTATCTACAATTAAATAGTATGGAGTGGAGATGAGTTATAAGTTACCAAGCCATAAGCAGTTGCTTCAGTTCGAAGGCTAGAGCCAGACCAAAAGATCCTTGGCCCTGTAAAACTTCCCTGCATAAGGAAAAAAATGAAGACATAAAGACCACCTCATAATTTCATTCAACATTGAATTCTCACTAAATAACTTAAACCTTCCATTTCTCTAACAACTCATAAAATTATGTAAAGGAATAGATATAATAGTTAAGATCCTAAAATGACATATAGGCTGCAATGTCTACAAACATAAAACCAAAGTTTAAATTTTTAAAGGAATATATAGTATCAGAAAATGATTTTCAAAAATCAATATGTACACGGACAATTTTATTTCTAAAATTACACATGCATCTGCAAATGTGAACAGATGTGTTGAAGTGTCAGAAAAGGGAAGCTTTCAAAAATAGACACACACATGCATACACACTAAATGTTGGGTAGGTTTACCCTCTTAGGTCTCATAATTTTCCAAATGCAATATTCAAGTTTACTCAACTTTTTGATTCTGTTCAAATCTTTGAAGTCCAAATGACCAAGTGCAAAACTTGACAGGTTTACAGCAAAAAGCACACCAGAAAACAAAATAAAATTATCTTTCTAAACTTGTGGTAATCCAACAGCTATAAAGAATTTCAACCTTCAAAGCACCCATTACCTTGAGACCCAGTGAAATGTACCATACAAAACCAAATAAATACAAGAGAAAAGATGGTATGGACCTTGCAACAATTCAAGCAATCATTTGATCTTCACGAAATTAAATGAAGCAGACATGAAATTATTAGCCCATAGCAAGAACCGAAAAGATTAAAATAGAAGTTTAAGTGTTCAAAATACCTGAAAGTTACCAGCTAAACGTCTGTATTGTCCAAAGAGGTATCCCATTTCTCTAATACCAACTCCCATTTCCTCTGACGGAAGGTCCTGACAATATAAAATGGAAATCAGATATGCGGGGCTACAAATTAAAGAGCATATTCAAGCAGAGAAGAGAGGGGTCTTACTCACTCACCTTGTCAGGACCAAAATAATGATACATCTCATTCATGAAACTTTGACAAAACCGCATGATCTGCTAGCGTGGGTTTCATAAACAACTGTAAGAGGATTGCTAGGGTTTCTAAGAAGGTTCTTATTAATGATATTAATAAAATATGAAAAAGGATATGACCTCATTATCACTCTTTCCTTTTGGATCAAAATCACTTCCACCTGCCGCCCCACCTAGTTTGTAGGGTGATAAAGCATTCTTTAATGTCTGCAAAGAGGTCAAATGACAAGTTCTCACTTATTAGGAGATTTTTAAAAGCCAAACGAATTTTTCATTACTCATTTTTGCTATCATTCTGAACAAATAGTCCCTTTTAGTATGAAGCAAACATATTTTGTGTTTTTTATTTATCTTCTGCTGACATGTGTTCAGCAGTTGGCCTAACGAACAAATCTGTAGGGTTTTTTTAAGCAACAGTTACCTTGGATGCACTTAAGGGTAAAGCTCGAGAAAACTTGCTATCTGGAAAAGAGTTAAGAATGAGTAAATTAACATGAAATAGAAAGTGCAGAAAGTACCTGTTCAAAACCAAGAAATTTGGCAATACTTAAATTCATTTTTTGATGAAACCGAATACCACCCCTACATGGACCCAGCGCCTGGTTAAAGTGTACCCTGAAGCCTCGATTGACATGTGTTTCACCTTTATCATCCACCCATGGAACTCGAAAAACAATCATACGCTCTGGTTCTAACAAGCGCTCCATGATATTGACATAACTGAAGCAAAATAGAGCAAGATGATACCAATAGTACATATGACGGAGAACTCTTTACTTCGGATGATTAAGAACAAATCATAGATAACAAACTTTTCTGGCAAAACTCACTGGGAATTTTTGGCAATCACTCTCTCTAAAGCATGAACAGCTTCTTGTACAGATTGTATGAACTCAGCTTCATGGGGGTCCCTTTTCAGTGCAGCCTCAATGATTGATCCAGCCGTTTTGGACATAAGAGCTTCAATTGAGGAAAAATTTTCCCAGGGATAGCAAAAACGAATATAAAGGTTAGATTTTTAATCCTTTTTTAAGGGGGGGGAAAAGTAACAAACTATTATTTTCAACAATCAGTTTGGTAAACATATGCATGCTAGAATCAAAATAACTAAAACAATCATTCAAAAGGAAATTTCATCCAAAGGCTATTTAGTTCAGAAAAACAGGAGGATGAGTTAAAACCTTCCATAGTTCATTCTGACAAGTTCTGTTGATACAGGTGCAATATTTTTATTATGCTCTATGCAGCAGCTACTTTTTCAAAAAATTTAACCAAGTATTCAGAAGGCGTAGAGAATAAAGAATTGTGCAATCATTTAACAGCCTATAGCTATAACCTATTGTAATGCTAACAGGAACGATGTTCTGTGTCATAACAAAGTTTTAATTCTGTAATGACAGAAACCATTCTTCTGTCACTAGTTAAGAGTTTTAGTAGCGCACCACAGCACCAGCAGAGGCTTGAGAGAAAATAAAAATTGTCCAATTGGACTCCCATTCATACTTTTTATTTTAAGAATTTAAAAAACCTCTAACATTTGGATTCTAATGAAGGTCATTTGAAAGCTGTCCCCCAGATTACAAACTACAGTGGTTCATTCAAAGTTATGTTGCATTAATCTAAGTTAAATGTACTTTGATAAAATGATTCAACTTCCCTATACTAGATATAATAGTACCACCTTGCAACTAAAATAATAATAACAACAGTTAATGCTTCAGCACTACAAGATTAAAAGAGTACAAGGCTTCTGCATAAGGTGGGAGTTAAAAATAGAAAAATCTAATGGCTTATGATGAACACTGTTCGCATCAATCAAATCCACATACTAAATATGATAGATTGAGATGACTAACCTTTTACATTAATGGGTTTATCAGCAACAATCTTATCCTTCGAGGCCATTTGGAGACGGAGAGCCTCCTTGTGAAGCAAACTATTGTTGTGCTCTTCCAATGCACTCATCTGCATATTTCTACTACCTTCATTCCCATAAGGATTCCTTCTATGCTTTCTACCATATTCTTTACAAACAGAGCAGAATATCCTTGCCGTTCCTTCCTTCACATCAACATATGCCCACTTGTAAGTATCAGCCCACTCCTCTCTCCATCTTTTCACAACCTTCTTCTTTCTTTTTGCAGGTTGTGCCTTCGACATATCTTGATCATCATTTGGGAGTTGAGAGACCATTGCCATCTGCTTAGATTCATCCTGCTCTTCAGCAGAAGGTTCTTGTGTTGGGCCACCAATGAGAGGAGTGTTGGAGAAGGAAGGGTCATCATCTCCAGGTCCAATCTCCAAATCAATCCCCTCATCAAGAGATCTGACCAGATGCCTTTGTGCTTGAATCAAGTTGATATCACCCATTGTAGAATTCATCCCTGGCCCACCACCTGGTAGCAACATTCAGCATGACAATCTCACCCAACAACTTAAAGAGCTAGGTTTCCTGTCAACATAAGAAGCTGCATAAAAATCAAACTGATTATAGAAAAATAAAAGTTACGATTTCTCCCCCAACTAAATGAAACTAAGATATTCCAGCTATCACTTACATAGCAGCAGAACACTTATATCAAGTCTAGACATTTTAAGGCATAAGAGGGTAGAGTGAAAAAAGAAGAGGACAGAGTAGAGGAAGTTACTCTCCTGCACCTCATTTGAGATTGAAGTGGAGAGTTGAGTACAGCAAAAAAATGAGTTTATGTATTATAACCGACGTACTCTGATTTAAGATCATTGCTAAAATAAATTTCAAAAGATAAAAATGGGTGTTCAGGTTGAAATCATTAAAGTGGAATACTCTACTCCCAAATCCTATCAATTTGAAGAAATATAAGAAGGGAGGTTTTGAGGGGACTTGATTCACCTACAAACCCCCTTGCCCCTCTCCCCCCATTTAAAGTACAAAAAAAGACTCTGAAACATAGTAAGTAATCCTTTTACTCTTTTTCACTCTACTCCCCTCCTTCCAAACACACAGTAATTGCATCAATTGCTTCCAGTTTTACATTTTGTTGAATTCCAGACAACATATTACACAAAATTCGAAATTAAACCTTTTCTATTGCCTACATTTTTAATTAGGATGGTTAGATGAGAGATGGCTATAGATAATCACATGGAATAAATTATGACGAATTTCAATAACAAAGATAAAAGCATAAGCATAGTGAAGCCATCATGAACCGAAACCAGCAAAACCCTTCAAGTTTACAAAAATTCAGGGTAGAGAAACATGGTCAACTTGCCACACATAAAAATCAACTCAGTGTACGCATTGTTGTACATAAAAACCCAAACTTCTGGTATCTACACTCACTTTCCAATATATTTCAGAATCTAACAAGTAAACAACCCTTCGGATTGCCCAAGAAAAGGCTAAGCAAATTCAGGCCGCAAATTCAATTCTTAGAAACCACAACTACTTCTAAATTTCATCAGCAACCTAATAAAAATCACAATATAAACACTTCAAAATTGAAATTGAAACCAATCCCAAAGCAAAAAAGTCAGTAAATTACCATATTACTCAAAACCCAACAGTTCACATACAAAAAATAATAACCCCGAACTAAAAAAGTGATAAATTCAAAATTTTCAACATACCAAGAAGTTAATTTGGTAGCTTAAGGAGTGCCCAGAAGCTAAAAGCAAGAGAACAAGATAAAGTACCTTGGAAATTCAGCACAAAGGTAACAACTTTGAAAACCAATGAGCCAAATTTTACAGCCCCTTCAAAAACTGGGCACCCTTTTAGTCCTGAGTCCTCTTTTTTTTTTTTTCCTTTAACAATTTGGCTCGTATATCTAAAACTGACAGTGACATCTTGCTCTTCTTGATGATAATTTTATTCTCCGTACATAACTACGTCTGAAGACTAAAATAAATATATAAAAATATTTTGAGATTCTTGTAAAAGCTGGTGTTAAAATGGGTAAATATGGCATTTGACTTTTTATAGGACGATAATTTCAAAAGAGTCCCCCTCACTTTCGCTGAAAATGCAATCCTTCTCTCTAACTTTTTATTGTGTGCAATTGAGTCTCTTGCTCTGTTTGCCAAAAAGCAATAATATTTTTTGCGCATATTTGACTCGACGGATTGGTAATTTATATTAATTAATTAATTGAAACTAATCGGTAAAAAAATCAATAAACATTTAAAATTTAATGTATTTTTGGGTAAAAAAGTCAAGACAATTGGAGTTTTTATACGGAGAGTGGTAAATATTTGTTTACCAAAATAAAATTGAAAGGAAAGAAACTTAATTTGATAATTACAAGAAAGTCATGCTAGAATCTAACTAATTACCGCTACTCCTCAAGTAATTATAATCTACTTAAGTGATATTGGATTAATTAATTCATATAATTATTTTTAAAAAATAATAACATATAACAGATTTAAAATTTAAATATTCAAACCTACGATTACATTTTTTATGCTTATGAGTTTCTTTATACCAAAAAACTTAGAACCTATTAACTTGATCCAGGTACAATTGGTCAGTGAGAACCTTTTGAAACTTGTTTGATCAAGATTAGAACTGTTTTAAACAAAATGTTTACATCTGTAGTGAAGCAAATTATGTAAAAGATTGCTTAGCCACCTAGTTAATTATTTGGAAATTAGCCTTCATGAGTATGATGCAGGTTTTGCATCAATCTGCTATGAAATTGAGTTGCAAGACATTGACCATGTTCTAAGATTCCAAGTTTTGAGGAAGGCAATTATGCATACAGTAATTTTTTCCTGGATAAATATGGGTCCATACTTTGATCTCCAAGTTCACACACATATTCTCCAAATATTGTTCCTAGATATACTGAATCATCCATATCGCTTTTTTTTTTTTTGTACATGGGAGGCCATGGAGATAGGAGAAGGGGTTGTGAGATTTAAATCCCAGACCTGGATGCCACTTCTTAAAGAAGGTAGCTGCATGAACCGAACTAAGCTCTGGGTTTCTTTGATCTTGCAGAGATTCGAAGTTGTTCATCCCAAAGTTACTTACCTTTTCGGAGTATAAACAGGAAGAAGAATTTTGAGCAAAGTAAAACTTGTTTTGTTTTTTTTTTGGGCCAATGAAGTAAAACTTCTAGATGTTATTGCCCTGCCTGTCACTGCTGTAGACATTGACAAGCGAAGTTTGCAGATTTTAAGCACCATCACTTTCGGGAATGTACAGCATTGGTTCAAACACTCTTAAACCTGCATCAGAATCTCAAACTCCAAGGCTTTTTTCCTGCTTAGTCCAAATTCAATGAGAGTGCTGGGAGTTTCCAACACTCAAATTGTCTAGAAGGAATAGCTGGTTTCTCACCAGCGACCAACTGATTGAAACAGCTACTGGGGTTGCAGAATTGCAGTTAATGACTCGCTGCTTTTGGCTTTGAATCGTTAAAGACGTTACAAATTCTGGTGCTGATATTTTAAGAAAGAATTTGGCTTGTGAATGCAGCACACACACACACACACAAAGCAAAGAAAATGGATTAGATTCAGATACAAACTTGGTACATATTCACAAACCAGTTCGGAAAAAAAATGAGATTAGTTTTCCTGCATCTGTGGTGTTCTTAATTCCATAAATATTGCCAAGACTGGAATGTCCTGTGCAATGCTATCTCAACATAAAAAAAAAGGAATCAAAGAAAGTGTTACTCTTTGAAAAGCAAAAGTAACCGATCAGTAAGCAACCAAGGCTGATAGCTCAGAATCAAGAACATTTATCTTGCTTTATACTTTTTGCATTATCCAGGAAATTTTTTTTCCTGATTCATCAACAACGATGGATGCCAACTTTTTTCTAGAAGGTGATTATCTTCTTTCTCGTCCACTTGCTCCTTATAGGCTTATCGCTTATAAAAATAACTGCAGCTGCAGCAAAGAAAGGTATTTATATAATCAAAGAACAATTTCATTAGGAGACTGATTATCAAGGCGTTAGCTGAAGCATATGGAACATTTGAAGACCCCATCAAAGAGCAATACAAAATATTAGGATATGTGGGCAAAACTGCAGAAACTATTTGTCCCTCTCAAACTATGATATTCAAACACCAATTCCTTACGGTTTCTAAAGTTTCTGAAACATTGCTGTCATTGCCAAGGAATATGGGAGGAAAAGCAAAAAGAAGAAAATGGATAGGATTAAAGCATTTGTCATTGCTGCTGGAGGTTGTGAAGTTGTGAAGTTAAGTATATTATCCGTCGGATACGCACCCGAATTGGGTTTGCAGAGTCAATCCTTTTAGAGGCATGGGGACAAGCTGCTGCATAGAATGAAAATCCTACATCGATCTAAACCTTCTCATTCACTTTTTACAAGAGGCTTCCCAGATTGTCAAACATGCATATTAGGCCTGTCATGTTTATGATAAGTTAATCAGGCCGATTCTCAGTGGTGCTTTATGGAATCTTCCAAGGACATGCTGTTTTTCGGTGGGTGTACCAGTTGAGCCAAAGCTGGCAAAACCTGTTGAAGCAGTATCTGAGATGATTAAAAAGATTTGATGGTGTAGAATACGCTGAGTACAAGTATAATGAGGAACGTGCCCATGGAGGATGGTAGGGTGGAGAAAAACTTTAGTAATCTTGAACCAAATACTGAAAAGTTTTCGGACGTTGTTATTGCTGTAACAAAATTGAAGAAGTCCTTACCAAAACACTTGTTTCGGACTGTGAAATTGTTGCTTATGACCGTGACAAACAAGAAATTCTTCCCTTCCAGATTTTTTGTACTCGAAGGAGCAAAACTATGGCTGTGTATGACATAAATGCCCAAGTTTGCATATTTGCTTTTGACATGCTATACCTTAATACCCATTCACTCAACAAGAAAAGTGGCGGATTGGCAGGTTGCAGCCATAAATGCGTTTCTGGCATTATTAAACCATTTTGTTGCAGGGGCAAAATTGCATTGTACTAAATATTTTCTCTAGTCTAGACAATGGGTGAACAACTTTTTTTTTTCTTTTTATTTTTCCAACCATTTGTATACACATTGAAGTAAATTGTTGGTTGCAAGCAAGATTAAACCAAGCTGTCAAAAGAATCTAGAACAAAATTGGGGGCCAAAAGCCAAAATTCTACACCTTATACACACCCAGTTTGGGTAGAGCCTATTACACATTGCACCTTCAATCCCTTTTGTACCATGGATCAGAATGTGACACGATCTTATCACCTTTATAACCATTTGCAAGAACTCCAATCTGAATTTAGCTAAGCAACACATCACTGTTGCAAGAATGACTGCCCTGCAAGGCAATGGTGAAATAGGTTTCGCTGATTGCAGCTTAGGTATGAGCAAAGACGATCCAGACTGTTGGATAAGAAGTTTGGAATAATTCACTATCAATCCATTGAAAATGACTGAGCGTACTCTACAAGCCTCTGCTTAAGGTTCTGCAATAAGGAAAATCCTCTGAATTATTAATCAAAAGGAAATAGAAGAGAAAATAAAGAGATGAAAAGATAGTACCACAAATCACCTTCAGTTCAAAGTGGAGCACAACAAATATTTTCTTGAGTTTTTTATGTCTCTACAAATCAAAACAGTACTTGAGTCAGAAGACAAATCCTACAGGAAAATTTTCAATTTTAAAAAGAAAAAAAAGAACAATACACACCACTCAGAAGTAAATACTAGGAACATTTAGAAAGTAGGCAATAAGGCATATAACCGATACAAAAGTTTCAACACCCAAGCATTTCTCAATAATAGAAACTACTGAAATTTTCAGACAAGATCAAAGCACCAGATACTATTGGAGACCTGGGGTTCGTTAAGACTGCCACCACATTAGTTTCTGTTTGTTATCCAATTATCATTATATGCAAACTTCTAGACAATCACATAATGAACTAATTTTGCTGCTAGTAAATGATCTTATCCATCAATGTTATTCAGCTCATCATCTGAACGTACTCCTTAAAATAAGAAAAGCTGCCTTCACTATTTATCATTTACTTACCACATTAGATCATGATACAAAAGTCAGGGTCATGTAGGCAGAACCTATTTCCAAATTGGCACGAAGATCTAAACTTGATGATAAACTGAAATTCATTTAATCAGGCAGATAGAGTGGCAAGACAATCAGAGGGTTCCATGTCTTAAACATTTCTACCATCGACAAGAAAAAGAGAATAGCAAAGAAACTAAAGAGAAATATCTACCATTCCACACTGGTGATAAGACTCCTGCATTTGCTCCAAGGTCTTATAATATTTCTCCTTGTCCCTATCTTTCGAATATTCGAGGTCTTTACCCAGCTTTTCGAAGTCATTCCTATATGGAAAGGTTATTCCAAATAGAAGTTCATCAAGCAAGTCAAAATACAAATACAAAGGCAGCAACACCTCATAGATGAGGAAAAGAATTCTAAATAATACCTGTAGGTCTGTAGGATCTTGTCCAAGTCTTTGTAAGATTCATATTTTTCACGAAACTCATTCATATATTCTTCATACCTAACATAAAAAAAATAGTTCGTTTCAGTTAGATGCCACAGTATTCTAAAATTCAACACTGCCACCACATTTTTAAAAGAAACAGACACATCAACAAATATAACTACTTACTGAGATGAATCCTTGATTGGACCCCTGTGCTCTGGCTCATCCTTTTCATACTTAGAATAAGGGGAACAGTCTTCATCAGGAAAAGACCCCCTTTTCTTTCGACCATTTATATTGCCCTCTGTCAAAATTGTATCCTTACGCATATCAGTCACATCCACCATTTTATTAGATGTTGGCATTTTACTTTCCTTCATGAAATGGGAAACTGATCCCCTTTTAGATTCCTGCTGTTGTGGGGCACTGGCTGGTGCTTTCTTATGGCTTTCACCATAACTCTCCGGGCCAACTCCCAGTTTTGCACCAATTTCAGTTTGTCTGGTTTTACCACTCGTATCTGCCAATTTGTTACACTGGGACCCAACTTCTGGATGGTCTACTCTTGAGAGATGTTGCTGCTGAGACTGCACAAACCTCTGATGCGATCTTGTTAAATCTTCAACATGATGCTCTGGGGTTCTTTTAAGCTCGCTTAGGTGGGGTGGAGATGACTTTCCTGAATCCCATTTTGTCTTCCCGACGGGTTTGCCCCTGCTTATATCTGGATTAAAGTTCTCTGAGGTGCCTGGTCTACTACCTGACTGTTTAAAGGAACTTTTTCTCTCAAATTGCTTCTTTATTGAAGTTTCCTCAACCTGCTCACGGATCTCACCTAACTCCAAGTGTGAAAGCTCTCTTTGGAGAACACTGCTTTTCCCATTAGCAGGATATCTATCTGCAGTGATCCTGCTGTTATCCTTTGGGGAAGAATTAATATATGAGCTAGAAATTTGTTCAGTGTCCTTGATCTTTCCAACAATCTCAGCATGTTTCCTGTGATGGAAATCAGAGGGCACAGCAGTTTTACCTCCAGCACCACCTTCCCTGGGATTTCTCACTAACTTTTTTTCCTTAATTAAGCCATCCTCATTTTGAATGTCCCTAGAAGGGTTATCCTTTTGGATTAAATAACCTTCATGCACATTCTTCTCAGAGAACTTACTACCATGTCCAGAGCTCTTGGTATGTTTTATAGGCCTTTCTGCTGTATTACTAGCTTTTGCCGTAGTACCTTGATCAGATGGCCTACGACCAAATTGATGAAAATCTGAACTCGTTTTTCTGGGAAACACCTGATTGTATCCCTTTTGAGAGCCAAAATCAGCAATTTCTTCTCTGTCACCTTTATTCATCATTTGAACAGAAGAGCTTTGGTAAGGCTCATCTATGGGTCTACCAGGAGAAAAATTGTGAAAGAAATCTGAATCTCTACTCCCAGAAACAGGAGGTTGAGACATGCTTTCAGACTTCAATCTTTTAGAACGTTCAGACTTCTCATCAAAGTGCTTCAGATCAGATACTCTTTTAGATTTATCTTTGTGTAACTTCTCAGAGTTATCAGATTGTTCATGGCTGATGCTATGCTTAATATTTTCCATATCATCAAACAGATTTCCTATGAAATTTTGATGCTCTTGGAGTTCATCATGATCAGATGAAGAGGGTTTTGTTCCTTCCTCCGGTTTCTCGCCTTTGTTAGTATCGACAGCCATTCCAATTTCCTGTTCATCTTCAGGCAAGTCTTTCTCACTGTCAACAGCATCTGATCCATTGCCTTCAATATCAACTGCATCAGATCCATCACCATCCTGATTTTCATCCATCCCATTCTGCAGGGGCCTGCCATGTTCAGTTTGTGATGGTATAGGTGATGTCAACAGTCCTGGTTCAAAGGTCTGTAAATCCTGCTTGTTCTCTTTGTCATCATCACTTGTCATTATATCCACATCCTCATCAGACCCTTCCTTGCTGTTGGAAGAAGAAGCATCACTCTCACTATCACTGCTACCACCGCTCCCACTTGCTGCCGGGCTTCCACTCCTGCTGTGGCTTCCACTGTCACTTCCACTATCACTGCTGTCACTGTCACTATCACTATCACTGCCACTGTCACTAGCACTATTTGCTGGCCCCTCACTATTGTCAGGAGCTTTTCTCTCACCACCAAAATTAGGTGAATGTTGTTGGATGTCAATTTGTTCTAACACATTTGGTTCTACCCCAAGTTTAGCATCTAAATGAGTCTGTTCCTCCATTTCACCGTGAGTAACTTTCTCCACCAAGCTTGGTACTGAAGCAGGTGCCAGATCATGGTTTTCTTCGGGAGCTGGAGTCTGGTGATGGTTATCTTCAGGTGAACTAAAATAATAAAGACAAACAGCATTATAGCAAACTGCATGTGCCGCACAGATAAACATGTATACTTCTATATATATACACACACACACACACACAAACAGATATGCCTTCATCTAAGCAAAAGACTAAACCAAGAATGAGGTTCTTAGGGTTCTTTGATACTTAGAAGAAGTGGCACCAACCAATTTTGAACGTAACCATTTTCATTGATAACTATGTCAAATGATCATTAAACAGAAATTGACAAGATACACAATAATCATACCAACATTTAATTCCAGAAAATCAAGAAAAAGATTTATGGCATGAGATTCCAAAAACTGTTAAATTTAAAGCCATCAAAACAATAATATCCCTAAAACATACAGGCTAAATAGAAAAAGAATCTTGAATAATTTTATAAAACAAATCTCATTTTAAATTTCATTAATTGAAATAGCAGTACTATGTCATAAGAGAAAATTCATTGTACCTTTCTAGTAGATCAAAGCTAATCAATCTCTATATAGGGCAAAACTTAGTTAAAGTTCTTTCCCCATCGAAATTATGTACCGACTAAAAATTGCAGACTCAGCATTGACCTCACCTCAAACTTTTAACATTAACTCTCCATGCTAAGTGAACAATTTTAAGACGTGTAGTGATTTCATTGAGGAACCTAAGGAACTTCACCTTAGTGCTCAGTCTTACCCATAAATAAGAATAACATTAACTATAAAGATGGAAAAAGAAAGACAAGAGAATTCAATTTCATTATAAGATTGATCAAATCAACCCCATTGGAATGAAGATGGCAGGTACCTTCCACTTTCAGACAAAGGGTTCTTCAAGCATTCCAACTCCACTCCTGGTTTCAACCAATATCTTCCTGGAGCTTGGAAAGTTGCAATCTGATAATAAAAATTAAAGGAAGGCATAAGACCACATAGTCTTATTAAAAATAGTTGCATCAAGGATTTCCATCACTTACTTTTTTTACAATGGGCTCAATCTTTCGTTCAGAGTTTGGAATTGTATCCCCAACAGCTTTCTCCAAGGCCTGTACTTATTTCAGAGAGATAGAGAGAGAGACAGAGAGAGAGTAAGAGATAAATGATCCCAAAATAAAGTAGTCAACAACAAGCACTAGCAGGAATGGAGGGACAACTAATTTAAAACTTTCACTCAGTCCTAGCCCTTGCCTTTAAGCTCATTCCCTTGGGATTCTCTTTCAGTAGACTGATCAGCAGACTCTGCAAGTCCATTGGCTTAGGTCCAAAGTTTCCTCTGCACCCTGGTATCTCACGCACTGCACTAGTAGCCCTGGTTGGTATTTCTTTCTCAGAGCTGAACGCATTTTCTTTGCTCTTCACCAAGGGAGGCATAACATCCTCAATGCTTGCATGACTCTTGGTGATATTTCCAATTCCAATAGGAGATGCTGCAGCACCAGAGCGCTCAGGTGGAGATGGTAAAGGCGAAGATGAGCGTCTTACTTTTGCACTAGCAGTTGAAATTAATCCAGATTTATAGCCAGATCTTGGAGGGCCTCCAACTGCAGCTGATGCATGAGACATACATTTCAAATACACTTATTAAGAAACCTAAACAGAAGAGAAAGGAACCACAACCATCTAAAAGTTAAATCTCAATACCTCATAAAGATTGTTACTTGCAAAGAGACCAAGCAAAATATAAGATGGTAATTAAACAAAATTCACATGATTTACCTTGAGGTGTCTCAACTTTTCGCTTCTTAAAAGCAGGCTCCTTTTTTTTAAAGTGCGACTTCCATGGACTAGCTGCAAATGCAAGAGACATATAAGACAGTAAACATTTATGCTTTAAATAGTGATCTCTTTTGATCTTAAATGTTCTCTACCAGCAATTACTTTCAGTGAACAACATTTTCAATGGGTTTGTTCTTCCACTGCCTTTTAGTATGTATTGTGCATGCAAGTTCTTTTTCCCTAACGAGAGTGAAGCCCAAGGCTAAAAAATACATAGTAGAAGAATCATCCTCATTACTGAGGGATTGCATGAATGAAAAGAGTAACTTGAAGATATCATCTTGATTGGCATGGGCATCAAAGCAATTTAATAAGCACCATACAAGTAGGACCTCAATAAGAAAATCAAATGCATATATAAAGCATCCTAAGAAAATACACAAGGGAAAAGATCTCAAATAGACCAAAGTCCTAGCATACACTCATTGTGATAATTATTACATTGGTACCTTTCTGTATGTCAATAAAGGCAAAAATATACTGGTTACTAGCTATGTTGCAACCCGCAAACACAATATCACAAAGAAAAACTTACCCTCAGCAGCAGCTAGTTGCTTGATTTGATTCTTCATAGAAGGGTTTCCATGGTCTAATATAATGGCTCTGTCATCAATATCAAAAGAAGAAAGGATGAAAACAATAATGTTAATTTAACTTAACCCTATTTCCAAAAGTAACAACGACATAAGAGTGTAGCAACATAAAATATTTACAACAAATGAATAACCAGAAATGATAAAATGAAAGGCCAGAGTTTCTCCATGAGACATAATCAGGTAGAAGAATCCAATTTTTTAATGCAGATCAGGAAATGATAAAAATCAACTAAAATCCAGACTAAAGAGCTTCTTAACCAGAAAGATTTCAGAGATTATTAGAGTTGTTGTCTCTACAATGGTAATGTGGAGAGTTATGCACATCTCCTTGCTAAAAGTTCTTACTCAGCAAGTGTCCATTCTGAATTCATAAGGAAGTACTGCAACATCAGAGATACTGCAAAAGATCTTGTGGAGAACTTTTTTATGTTGATAATGGAATAACCAAACTGAGAAGAATTATATAAACTGCTATTATAAATAGAATCTGGTATGAGAAATGCAATATTTTATAAGGTGATTTCAGAGATCAGATGGCTGTTGTGTAGCAAATTATTTTTGATATTGGCTTGGGATTGTTTGATTGAGTTACGATGTGGTTGATCAAGAATATTAATTTTATAACTGGAACATGGGAGGCAAGCTTCAACATGAGAAAGGGCCCCCATAATGGAAGAAGCTCCCAGAGGTTATAATGAATTAAACAATGGTGATAGGTCTCTATCTGAGAACAGATGAGGTTACAGAGGTGTTCTGAAGAATCCTGGAGGTGATGCAGTGCTTGCTTTTCCACAAATTTGCTTGCCTAAAACTGTTCCACCATATTAATTATAAGAAATAAAAAAGGACCAGAGATTGCACTTCTGCATAGCATTAACCTTGTTACCGCTTCAGATTCTCAAAATGCTATCAGTATTTGAGGGGAGAGATCTTGCAATGCTAAAAGGCTTGTTCAGGAGACTATGAAATTTCAGCCAAATTTTGATAAAGGTACTGGCAAATATGGGTACAGAGAAAAAGAATCTCTACCTAATTATTGTGTAGAGTTTTATACTACCTTTGGAGGTGTCCACGAAAAGGATTGTCTTCATATTGAAACTCCAGATGCAAAAAACAGAAAACAGCTAGATAATCTTAAACAAGAACAATACCAATTAATGTGATGCATTAACCAGCTTAAGAAATGTCAACATGTATCTCTTCACACGTTGTATATTACTAAAATGTTACATGCAGTAAAACATCTATATTTTGATAATTAACCATAGTGGAATATATATCTAGTTCTGAATCATGTAAACTGGACATAAGCAACATAAAGTTAAAGAGAAGAGAAAAAAAAATATGCATGCTTAGGCAAATAATGACTATGAGAAAACCATTCTAGATAACATACTTGCGTGACTTATGCTTGCGTTCAGCTTCCTCTGACCGCATCTTAACATGGTTCGTTGTTGACTCATCCAAGACGCGTTGAACGTTCAACTTGCGCCATGCACACCCAGATTCAACAAGCAAGCCATTTCCATCTTCACCACTTTGGCATTCTTCATATATATCACATAGATCACCAAATTCCCGTGACCATGTAAATCTAAACTCCTTGCCACCAACATCAATGACCTACAGTAGGGACGATAAATTTAAACACACATTTATTGATAATTGACAGGCCACATAGATGTAAATAAGTTTTAAAAAAAAAAGCTGAAGAGAATTCAATTGCAACTTCTGTCTCCAAAAGTCCTAACAAATGATGGGAACAATCATCAATTGAAAATAAGAATAGAACATTGAAGCAAGATTTTTGTTGCAGCAACATCTCAAAAAGAAGCTAAAACAACTCAGTCCGTAACCAGTTTTCCTGTATTCCATGCTAGAACCTGTCAGACTGAAAAGGCTATTCATCAATCATGAGAATGACCTGCATAATTCTATGTCCACCCAAAAGCAAGTAGAAAGCCACTGATGCAGTCCATAATACCTATCAATGGACAAAGGAGACCCAGAAAATATATTGCAATCAAGAGAAAACTTAACCCATCCTGCACCAAAATTCTTGTGCCAATGATTTGAAGGATCTATTTACCATCAAATTTTACCAACAAACAGACCATGCAAATTATACAACCTTTTGTTTGTAAGAAAGAAATACTAACATTAATAGCCCCCTAGTACAAATTTTATACAATGACTTAAAAGCCAATATCATATGCAAAGCATAAGTCACCAAAATTCAGAAATAAAGGCTAACTCATTCTATCATAAAACTCAACAATGAAAGGCTATACAGATTGAACATAATTGGAGCACAATGTAAACATTTCAGGTGGAAAAAAGTACTAGCCCACACCCAACTCAAGACATGCTAGGGATTGCACGAACCAAATAGAAACCAAATAGACACCAAATAGACCAAACTACCTCATCCCTTACTAGAATCAAGAAAAATTACAAGCTAGTTGAAATAAAAGAACAATTAAACCCAGAACATTTACCCAAACATCTCCCAATAACCTACCAAAATCTAAATAAAATAACAGAATGCAATCCACAATCACCCATGAAATGCTCAAACGTAAGCACCAACAGAACAAAATCCACAATCTACCCCCACATAGTCACCAAATTTAAAGCTAAACCAGGTTGAAAAACCCTATCACGCAACTTACAGTTCCACAATCAGTTGTGAACTAAGAAGTAAACAAACCAGGTTGAAAAACCCTATCACGCAACTTACAGTTCCATAACCAGTTGTGAAATAAGAAGTAAACAAAGTCACAAACATGAACACAACCTTGACACAATTGCATCCAAACCAAAGTCCAGGAAACCAAAAGATAGCCAATAGAAAATAACTAAATTGCACAATAATTCAAATAATCACTATAAAACTTTTAAAAAGAAAACAAATTTTTGCTAAACCAGATGAATTCCGATCAACCAACATTCTTTCCTACTAATTCTATTCCCATTGACCAGCAAAACGAAAAGTACAGTGTAAAAAAAATAAAAGCCAGATGAATTCCATTCAAGCAGCATCTTTTCACACTAGTTTTATCTCTAAAAGCCATCAAAATTCGAGCAAAAGGAATTACAATTTGAAATAAATAGCAGTAAAATTGAGCAAAACCTAGCTGAATTCTCCTAAAAAACTCACGTTCCCAGTAGGATTAGTAGGAATTGAATCAAATTTAATCCTGGCCGTCCCTCCTTGAGCCTCAAGCCGCCTGATCTCCTCCACCAAATCTGGCGCCAACCTTATAATCATAGCAAAAGCCAATGGATTGTTTCCAGAAACAAGCGAAAAACTCTCTTCCACAGCCGGTCCGGGCCCCAAACCTCTCCCCATACCGGGGCGGTTGCGAGGGGCGGATCCAAGGGAGAGCCTGCCAGATGGGGCGGCAGAAGAAGGACGGTGCAGTGGTGGCGGAGGGAATGAAGAGCGATTCCGAGGACCTCCTCCCCCACGGCCGCCGCCTCCTCCGCGGCCGAGCTTCGAGGAACCTCCGTACATTGGTTTTGCGGGAGGGGTTTACTAGATTTGCTTCGTTGCGTTATTAAGACATAGCAATTTCATTGGTGTACGTATATTTACACGTATTCGTGTGCGTATTTTTAAGAAAATAAATAGAAAAAATGGCGGCGCGTGGCCGTTTCTATTGGCGGAAGAAATAGAAAAGCGAGAGAGCTGGGGGCAGAGAAGCGTGCTTCGAGAGAGGAGCGTAAGGGGTTTGTATTTTTTTTTTTTTCTATTTGTAACATTATTTTAATGGAAGTCTTTAAAATGTTCAAATTTACAAAATTTCCCATCCAATTTTTCGTATATTCTAATTAAACCCTTATTGTATCATTAATTGATTATGAAAAATTGGTTAAAATACTAAAAGAGTCCCTTAAATTTATTAATTTACTTAAATAAGTTATTATATTTTTATTATACTCAAATAAATTTTTAATTTTTAATTTGTATTTAGTATATTTTTATTTCAAATAAAATATTAATTCATATAAAGAATTTATTTAGATATAAATTAAATGATAAAAATTTATTTGACAACAAATTAAAATTTAAAATTTTATTTGAGTGTAAAGTAAATATTAATGGTTTATTTGAGTGTAATAAAAATTCAAAAATTTATTTAATAAAATAATAAAATTTAGATACTTTTTATTATTTTAGCCTAAAAACTATTATTGTAAAATTACAATTATCATTATTATAAAGTAAATAGTATTAACTGTTATATCTTAATTTATTAGTACTAATTATGTCTTTTTTAAATTGAAACTTTTTTTCTTTGAATTTAAATTAAAAAATTGAATATATCATCAAATTTTAAATTACTTTTTTGTGCATATTTTAATGTTACAAATGTTTATTTAATTGGAAGAAAAACATCATTAAATGTGTGCTTACCAATGATTATTTGGAATGACATAAAATATATCACACACAAACATTAATTTATTTAATATGAGAAAACTACATAAAAAATATTTCAAAAGATTTTAGATGTCAAGTACTAATTTATAATTTTGTTGAGATTTTTAAAAAGTTAATATGAATATCATCAACATTTATTAGTCCGAGTAATAAAGAGTTTGATTTTTTTTAAATAAGATATCGGTTTTGAATATTGTAGATGAAAAAAACATATTTGAAAGAATTTATTTTGCTTATGACATCCGATCTTATTTGACTTTAAATTAATCAAAGTTCAAAATGGTTATCAAACATCGAAGAATCCCAAACCAAAAAAATATGAATATCTCATTAAATAAAAAAATATTTTATACAAAATTTTCTTAAAATATATAAAAAAAGAACACATTATATAGTGTTGAAATTTTGTGTAAAAAACCTCTTTTCATTATGATACAAATACTTTATTATCTAAAAATATGTAATTTTTATCTTAAAAAAATAATATTTATTTTTTAAAAAATTTATGATGTAAAATGAACGATCAAGAGGCATTACATCATACATATTTGAAAAGAGATGTGTATATATATATATATATATTTGAAATTATGTGATATAAATTATTGAGTGTGATAAATTTATAAAATTATTATTTATTTTATTTTTTTATATGATTCAATCATTATTTTTTATATTTAAAATTATTAAAATTTTAAAATTAAAAAATTAATATTTTATCAACAAATCACTGTTGATTTGATTTTAGGACAATATATATATCATGGACAAGCCAATTTTAAAATTCAAAATTTAAGGTTTTTTTCTTTGCTACATTTTTGCTATAAAAAAAAAGTTATTCATAATATTTATTAGTTAATATTGTTAAAAAAAAATTTATACCTTGATCCGTTGACAGAAAACCACCGACCCGTATCCATGTCTACCAGAGACAAACCGAACCAACAAGAACCGGATTCGGAACGTTTTTCCTCTATAAAAACAAAAAACAAATATCGAAATAATTATCGCAAAAATAAATTACTTTTCCTCTTCTTCAAGCCAAAAGAACAAAAAAAGAACACGCACTACAAAACCCCGAACCCGAAGTCTCGTATTCTTTCTCGGTCGATCCCCAACAGTAATCCAATCATGCTGACAGGTTCTCTACTCTAAGCTCTTTAATGATTTTTTACACTGTCATTCATCTTTAATGCCTCATTTAGATATTGTTTAGTGTTGTTGTTGATTAATGGAACTGCGACAACTGTTTTTTATGGAGCTCATTTTGGATTTTGTGAAATGGGTTTTCTTGGTTTTTCGGTTTTTTATCTGGGTTTTTTTTGGGATTCGATTCTATTGTTCCATGTTTGTTCCTTTATGTGATTTTTGGGTTCTTTTTTTGGTGTATTTGGATTATACTAGCTGTTATGAACGAAGCTAATGTGGGTTTCCGTTGTCTCAGCGTTTTATTTTGAGGGGTCTAATCACCATTTTTGTTTTTACAGTTCAATGTGCATAATGGAAGTAAATTATTGAGTATTGGGATATTCAATTAAAGCAATTGATTAAGGTGTCTATATTGCATTAAAAAAATTAAACTTTATGTACTTGAATTTCGCGGATCCATCTAACATTTGAGAATATCCAATTTTTTAACTCTATGAACCAAGTTTTGCTCATAGGACTAAGTTTTTAACTGTAGAAATAGTTTGAGTTATAAAATGTTTGGGGAAATTCAGATAGACATTATGCATTTTGAGAAAAGGTGAAACTTTGAACTAAATTCAAACTTCAAAGCTTTATGTTGCAAATTTTTGCAACGGGTTTCATTGGTGGTTAGTTAGGGAATGAATTAGCTATCACTGTTGAGGTTTTATCTGTTCCATGGTGCCCTTTTTTTTACCCGGATAATTAATGCTTTTGTATTTGATATTATAATGATTTTGGACTCTTAAGAATCTTCTTTGAATGTTGTAGTTATTGTGAAATGGCAAAAGGAAGTCTTTAAGGCTGTGGAAATTGACACCAGTCAGCCTCCATATGTTTTCAAGTGCCAGTTGTATGATCTGACCGGAGTACCTCCTGAAAGACAGAAGATTATGGTTAAAGGTGGTTTACTGAAGGTACTTGGTTGACTTTGTATAAAATAGCTAGCAAAATTGCTTGATGAAGTGCTTTGACTGTTTAGTGCGAAAATTAGACATATTTACTCTTTATTTATTAAGTCATGGTTTTCTAACATGCCTATTTTGAGTGTAATTCACGAATTTCTAAAGCATGTTCTTATGACAATGTAGGATGATGCAGATTGGTCAACAGTTGGAGTGAAACAGGTGAACAATCTTGATAAAATTTACTTTTTTTTTCCTTAATCTCATGCTTTTGCACAGTTTTCTAACGAGCATGCTTTCCTTGTGCCATAATGATTTTGCCAGGGTCAAAAATTGATGATGATGGGAACTGCTGATGAGGTTGTTAAGGCCCCAGAAAAGGGCCCTGTTTTTATGGAAGATCTTCCAGAAGAAGAACAAGTGGTATCTTTGGTAAGTGCCAATTTAACTCCCTGTTTTCCTCTATCATTTTTCATGTTCTTCTTGTTCTTTTTTAATGAAAAATATGTTCCTGCATTGTGATTATATAAAGAATATAATATAGCATTATTGTAGTATTGCCTTGGTGTTATGGATGCTGTTTGATTTCATTTTATGTCCTGCTTGTATCAAATAGTTTACTTGTGATTTATGCATGATTCAAGTGTTTGGTATCTTTCCATTGATCTCATTGAACTTGAAGACATGCTGAAATCCACTGACGTGGTTAGTTGACACATACTTTTTAAAGAATTGAAGTTAATTATGGACCCTATTCAAGATGTACCATGAGACTTAGATGAAATTATTCTCCACATTGTTATTAGCTTTACAATGCTTACCCTCCTAGAAAATATGGCAACAAAATAACTCTTCCTCATATCAAAAGAATATTGATGGATTTGCCTGTTCTTGTATTAACATATGATTGCAGATTCTCTAACTATTATTATTATTATTATTATTATTATTATTATCATCAAATTAGGCTGGCTTGAGTTTCAGTTGTTTGACCTGAAGTTTATTGAGAGCAATTTGTTGGTCCTTTTCGGGTGTTAGGGATCAGTTGCAATAACTTGACTATGTTTTTGTTTAATATTATTTTTCCTTCATCTCTTGTTAGTACAATTTACAATCAACTGAAGTTGTAACTATGTAGCGGGTTCACTCGTAGTCTTTATAATTTGTTCCTCTTCCCCTATTTGATTTGTACTTTCAGGGTCATAGTGCTGGACTATTTAATCTAGGAAATACCTGCTACATGAATTCCACGGTACAATGCCTGCACTCTGTTCCGGAGTTGAAGTCTGCTTTAGTAAAGTAAGTTTTCTTTTCCTAAGAATGCATTGTGTGAGAATTTTGGCATTATATTTGCATGTTTTTGTATGATTCAGATGTAAGGTACACTGTCTTAATTGTGATCAGGTATTCACATTCTGGAAGAAGCAATGATTTGGATCAGACTTCTCATATGTTGACAGTTGCAACTCGTGATTTATTTGGTGAACTTGATAAAAGTGTCAAACCAGTTGCACCGATGCAATTTTGGATGGTTTGTTCCTCTTTTTCCTTGTCACACGTAATTTGAATCTCCATGTTCTCTCTTATCTGTGAAGCTCATAGGATATCACTAGATGGAAGAAACATACCTGTTAGAAATTAGGTCAAATCCTGGCATATAACATGCAACATGTTGTAGGTGTACTTGGCTATGTTTTGATATTTACATAAGGTAAAGTTCTTGGAAACAGTGTAATTCGGTGCATTGTCCAACATTTTTTGCTGATTCCAACGAACTCTCTTTCCTTAGTGATTTAATCATTTTTTTATCATTTATTGCCAGAGCTTAATGCAAATATTTTGTGCTGTTGTCAACAGAGTTGTTGCACTGTTCTTCAAAGTTCATTAAAAGCTTTTCTCTTATTTACGTTGTTTGTTGCTGTATGGCACTTAGTTTGCTGAAAAGTATAGAGAACTTATTATTTTTATGTATCTTTGTTGCAGGTATTGCGTAAAAAGTTTCCTCAATTTGGCCAGTTGCATAATGGTGCCTTCATGCAGCAGGTTTTTTCTTTCTATTTATAATCTACTGTACATAATATTCTTCCTGTCTTAGATTTGTTTATATGCCAATATGTAATTTGGAATTTTCTATAGGATGCTGAAGAATGTTGGACACAACTTTTATACACCCTCTCTCAATCTCTTCGGTCACCAGGTTCCAGGT